TGACTGAAGCCACAAGGTCTCTGCTTAGATTTCATAGACCAAGGATTGACACCATTTTCCTACAAAGCACCAAATAGTAAATATTTTAAGCTTTGTGGGCCATAGAGTCTCAGCTCTGCTGTTACAGTGTGAAAGCAGCCACAGACAACATGTAAACGAGTGAGTGTGGTTGTGCTCCAGTAAAATTTTATTTATGAAAACAGGTGGCAGGCTGAATGTGGCCTGTGGGCTGTAATCTGCCAGCCACTACCGTAGGCCTGTGAGAGGCAGCTGAGAGCAGTAGATAAGAGAAAAGCACTGGCGTTGGGTTTGTGTGGACCCCAGCCCTGCTGCTTTGTGGCACTGGACTTGGGCAAGTCACTTAATAAGGGGTAGGAGTATCTGCCCCTTGGGCTTACGAGAGTCCAGGATGATGTTGTCCATGAAGAGTGTGGTACAGAGCCTGGCACATGGTAAATACTGACTCCTGCTGCTGCTCCTCGTTGCCAGTCCCTTGACAGGAGGGGCTGCTGGGAATGATTTTAGGCACATTAAAGGCTAAAGCTAATTGGAAGTTGATTTGCTTGTTTATTTTCTCAGCATAAGGTCTCTATGAAAAAAAAAACAACATGTGGCCTTCTCTAGCTGCTGAGAAGGTCATCGTTGTTGCCCAGTGCTGCAGCTTTCACAGCTGAGTAGGTAAACAGTGCAACTAAGCGGAACCCGTTAGACAAGTCAAGCCAAAAATAAAGATAAGGTTAAATATCGACTCCATTAAACTCAGCTTGCTCTTTAGCTTTTATAACAAAGACTAAGCTGGCTGATGGGGAAGGGCAGGGTGAGTAAATCCCACCCACTCAAAGACCAGCAGTGCATTCTTCCGCCTAGCTTTGTCAGCTGGCCACCTGCTCTGTGCCTGACATTGTGCTGGGCGGCAGGAGTTGCAGAAGGAGCAGGGAGGGATGTGTCTCCCCTTGCAAGAGCTCACAGTCTAGTAAAACAGAGTATAAGAAAGTTGGATAACCACAAGGCAAGGCAGAATGAAACTGTGGTTGTCCACTACCTCATTGGCCAGACTGTTATCCCCACCCTGAATCCAGTCCCTTCCCCAGTCCTGCCCTCTGCTCCAGCCTGGACAGGTTCTGCTGCCTCCTCACATGCTTATTCTAAACTCATGTCTCCATTCATTCATTTAAAAAACATTTGTGTGTGGGGCGCCTGGGTGGCTTAGTCAGTTAAGCGTCCGACTTTCGCTTAGGTCATGATCTTGCGGTTCGTGGGTTCGAGCCCCGCGTCGGGCTCTGTGCTGACTGCCAGCTCAGAGCCTGGAGCCTATTTCGGAGTCTGTGTCTCCCTCTCTCTCTGACCCTCCCCTGCTCACGCTGTCTCTCTCTGTCCTAGAAATAAATAAAAATATTAAAAAAAAAAACATTTGTGTGTATTATTTGCCATTAAAAAGACAAGGTCCCTGTTCTCACGGATCTTAAAGGCTAGTTGAAGTAACACAGAGTGATTCACAAACTGATGCTATCTGGGTGAGTAATAAAGCTCTCTGAGATTTAATTTTAAAAAATGAACTGGACAGGGAGGATTTCATGGTATGTGTGTTTATGATTGTGCACATATAGGTTAGTTTTTACAGAACTGAGAGCAAACTATATACACATACTGCCCTTTTCTTTCTGTTCCATTCCATTAATTTATCTTCCCTTCCCTTCCCTTTCTGATTGATTCTTTGCCTATTGTGAGTCTACCCAGCCTGACTTAAGTATATATTTAGAAAGTAGGGCCAAAGAGTCATTAACATAGTTAATACACACAGAAGTATTGTCAGCATTAGAAAAATTAGAGAATTTTTTTCTGTGAGTTAGTTTTCAGCTTCATGCCACATTGTAAATTTTGTGGTCATATTTTTCCTTTTCGCTGAGAGTTTCTTTTCCTATCCCCTACACTTTTTATTTTGAAAAATTTCAGACCTGTATTAAAGTTTGAAAGCATGTATATTCATATACTCTTTACTTAGAGTCATCACTTAACTTTTTGCCTCATTTGTCTTTTCACTCTACATATTTAATCTTCTATTTTGCTGAACCATTTGACAGTAAATTGCAGACATTGTAGAATTTCCGCCCCCTGGTATTTGAGTATGCACCTTCCTAAAAACAAGGAAATTATCTTTTTTAGCCATAAAACCATTATCATACCAAAGAAATTTAACACTAATAAAATGATATTAGCTAATACCTAGTCAGCATTCAAATTTTCTAGCAGTATCAAGATAGTCTTTTATGGATTGTTCCTTTTAAATATGTGATCCTGTCAAGGATCATGCATTACATTTAGTTTTCAAGTCTCTAAATCCCCTTAATCTAGAACTATCTCCCTGCCTTTTTTTTTTTTTTTTTTTTTGGTCTTTCATAAATTTAATGGTTTTGAAGAATCCAGACCAACTGTCTTGCAGAATGCTCCAAACATGGAATAATCTGATCTAATTGTTTCCTCACTGTTAAGATTCAGGTTAAAACATTTTAGGAAGAGATTGCTTTAGAGGATGCTGTATCTGCTCTATCCTTCCCATTAAGTAACGATTAAGAATATAAGTTTGTCCTGTTATTGGTGGTACTTAGATCACTTGTTCAAGGTGGTATCTGTCAGATTCCCCCATTTGAGGCTGCCCCCGCCCCATGTAATGAGTAAGTAATCTGTGGGGTGATGCTTCGAAAACCGTATTGTGTTCCCCAACAGTTTTTCACACAGTGATTCGAGCACTTATTGATGAACTTTGCTCAATCAGTTATTACATTGGTGTTGGCAAAGTAACGTTTTTGTCATTCCTTCTACCTTTGTTAGCTGGCATTTGTTTGTGATGAAGAGCCTTTCCCACATTTCTTCAAGTATCCTTATGGAATTCATGGATATTTTTTTGTTCATTGTGTTATGATCCATTATTATCTACTTTTTTTACCTGAGAATATTTTTTAATGTTTTATTTATTTCTGAAAGAGAGACAGAGAGAGAGACAGAGAGAGAATGCATGAATAGGAGAGGGTCAGAGAAAGAGGGAGACACAGAATCTGAAACAGGCTCCAGGCTCTGAGCTAGCTGTCAGCACAGAGCCCGATGTGGGGCTTGAACCCACGAACCATGAGATCATGCCCTGAGCCGAAGTTGGATGCTTAACCAACTGAGCCACCCAGGTGCCCCTAACTGAGAATATTTTAAATTGAGTTATGACTTACAGTGAAATTTATAGATAAGAAGTGTACAGTCTAGTTGCTTTTCATAAATGCATATGTACATGTAATTCCCACCCTATCGAGATACAGAGCAGTAATCTGGTTTCTTCATTATTCTCTTTGATGTTTTTATTGTCCCACATGTTGACAATGGAAGACTCATTTGTTGGCTATGTGTCCATTTGACATGTCCATCTTTTTTTAAAAATTTTTTTTAATGTTTACTTGTTTTTGAAAGAGAGACAGAACGTGAGCAGGGGAGGAGCAGAGAGAGAGGGAGACAGAATCTGAAGCAGGTTCCAGGTTCTGAGCTGTCAACACAGAGTCCAACACAGGGCTTGAACTCACAGACCATGAAATCACGACCTGAGCCAAAGTCAGACGCTTAACTGACTGAGCCACCCAGGCACCCCTTGTCATATCCATCTTAGTCTTTGATCACTTTCTTGGTTTTTGGGCTAAGAAAGTGTTGTGTTTTATTCTTTTTACCAGCTGAAAATATCCCATAGTATGTATATTAGTTAAATAATTTCTCCATTAGTGAGCTTTAGCTTGTTTTCTTTTTAATTTTGTTACAAAAATTCTGTGGCAAATATCCTGGAACACATATGCTTGCCCCACTTCTGTGTGTATTTTTGTAGGCTGGATCCCTAGAAGTGTTATTTCTAGGTCAAAGAGTATGCACATTTAAGTATTTGAGTGATATTGCCAAATTCTTCCATCCCCTCTTAAAAAGCTGTGTTAATTAAGTTTCCAGAAATAGTGCTGGTTTCCCTGCAGCCTTATCTACATTGAATTTTATCTGTCTGCATGCATATAGTGGTGTGGGATTTGATTTTGGACTTATTCTTGAGCAAGGTGAACATCCAACCAGGAGAGCCTCCTTTTTGGTTCCAAGCCCAATTTTCATTTGTATAGAAATGAAATCTCTCCTCAAGGGAGAGGTAAACCAAGGAGAAATTTTTGACAGAAACTCTCTGTCATTCATTGTCTTTGTCACCATTACAGCCAACTTTTGGCAATTGTATTCTTACTGTTTTTATTCTGCATTAACTGAATATGAGAGATAAAGAAAAATATGGTATGAGGGGTATGATGCCATTGCCCCAGAGGCTTCTGGTTTTCTTTTCTTTTTTGTTTTTTTTTAGTATATATGCTGCCGAAGCAAGCACCAGAGGCTTCTGGTTTTCTTGAGCAACGTTTAGAATATTTTATTCAGAGTTATTATGTATTTCTATCTTTAAATAACCACTGGAACTAGCTTTTATTTTGCAATGAACCTTAGTGATTTTGCATTTGGGGTAGCAAGTTTATTATAATGTACGTGTGTGTGTATGTGTGTGTGTGTGTGTGTGTGTGTGATGTCACTTTGTTGTCAGCTAGTAAACAAAATCTTTACATTTTTGTTTTATTTTATTTAAAAAATTTTTTTAATGTTTTTTAAAAATTTATTTCTGATGAGAGAGAGAGAGACAGTGTGAGCAGGGGAGGGTCAGAGAGAGAGGGAGACACAGAATCTGAAACAGGCTCTAGTCTCTGAGCTAGCTGTCAGCACAGAGCACGACGCGGGGCTCGAACCCACGAGCCGTGAGATTGTGACCTGAGCCAAAGTCAGACGCTTAACCGACTGACCCACCGAGGCACCCCATTTTTGTTTTATTTTAAATAGTAAACCTTAGATTAACCACCTTTGTAGATGATTTGGACTTTTTTTTTTTCAGGTTGAGGAAATTGTTTGAAAGCTGCTGTGTCTGCTACAGTTACCTGTGTTAATTTTCTTTATAGGTATTTGAAGCGGTGATTTCATGGATCAATTATGAGAAGGAAACCCGTTTAGAGCACATGGCAAAACTGATGGAACACGTCCGTCTCCCTCTCTTACCTAGGGATTACCTGGTCCAGGTGAGTGCTGTGTGAAGCACCACGCACTTTCCTGCTGTGGGCAACCCTAGATGTATGGGGTGGTTGAAGAGTTTGAGTCTTTTACACAGGCTGAATGCACCAACTCACTGGCTTAACTGTGAGACATGGTAGTATACGTTTTTTTTTTTTTAATTTTTATTATTGAAGTATAGTTGACACACAGTGTTATATTTTAGATGATAGTGTGAGGTTTAAGAGCATAAGTTTGAGAATAAGACACTTAAGTTTTAGTTCCTTCTCTACTACTTGTTAGCTTTGTATTTTTATTTCCCCTCTTCAAGACTTAGTTTCTTCTTTGCTAGAAGGAATATCATGGTAGAGCCCAGCAGGATTAATGTGAGGACCAAAGGAGTTTTAAATATGTAAGTCAGCTGTTTAGCATGGAGCTGGGCCTAACAGATGTTCACTAGAAGTTGGTTGCTTTTATTGTAGAGGACCTGAAGCAAGAAGGGTCATTTCCACAATGTTTCTGTGTTCTCTTTGCCTTCGTGTTAGGCAAGTTGGAGCCCAGTTCAGGACTTTAAAAACCGGCCCCTCACAGGTGCCTGGGATACATATTGCTTCTACTTCCTCTAAGAAATGAAAGAAAAGTTAAGAATGATGGGATGCCCCTATAGTGACACATATTTTCTCATTTAATCCTTGTAACAACCCTGTGAGGCAAAGATAGATAACCCTCTTTTTACAAGTTTGGGCCTTGAGGTTTATGGAGGTTTAGATTTATTGGGCAGTAGGAGGCAAGGTCAGGATTGAAATCCAAGTCTGCCGGCCCGAGGCACCTGCCTTCCGCTAAGCAGGCTGCCACCTTTAATACTCTCTGTTCTGTTTATCCATTGGCATTAGATACTCTTATAAGTGCGCAAAGAGTAAAAGTTAAATATAGGAGCAAAACAAAACAGCAAGGCGGTAGGCCAGCCGTCATCTCTTTCCAAGAAGTTTCTGGAAGGAATAGAAGGTATGAAGCAACGATAAGAGAGGAAGTTCAGCATCTGAGCAGCCTAGCTCTGTCACTTCCCAGCCATCTAACACTGGGCAAGTACTCAACCTTTTTTTTTTTTTTTTTAAGTTTATTTATCTATTTTTTTGAGAGAGTACAAGTGGGAGAGGGGCAGAGAGGAGAGACAATCTATGCCATCAATGCAGAGCCCAGTGTAGGACTTGAACTCATGAACTGTGAGATCATGACCTGAGATGAGAACAAGAGTCATACGCTTAACTAACTGAGCCAGTGCAGAGCCCCATGCAGGGCTCGAACTCACAAAACTATGAGATCATGATCTGAGCTAAAACCGACAGAGCCACCCAGGCACCCCAGTACTCAGCCTTTCTAAACCTCAGTCTTCTCATCTGGTAAAAATAGCACCTGTCTTTATAAGATAGTTTGGGGGTAGAATGAGATAATCTATATAAAGGCTGCATCCCTATGTGAGTGAATGCTAGCTGGTACTACGGCTGTTTTGACGACCACGGATACTTTTGGGAACAGCAGGAGAACTTTGTATCCTCAAAAGCCCCTGTAAAGTCCTCAGCTTGTGACCCTGTGAAATGTTCTCTGAATCTCTGAACCTCTGTCCTTCTTAGGTGCTGAGGCATACACTTGCCAGCCCTTTTGTGTGCTCTGCATTTTATACTTTGGATGGTACTACTGCCCCCTGGTGGCAGCATATCCTTTCTATAGAAAAGGTTTCCTAAGTCGAGGGACTGAACTGGCCTAACATCCCAATGTCAGAATCCAACTTCCTACTGTCCTGTGGGAAACAGACCAAAGGTAGAGATGGATGTCTGGCCTCCAGCACAGTCTCACTTCCACAAGAAGGGCTATATAGGTTCCAGGGAAAACTGAAGAGGCTTCCAGACCCCTGGTCACAACCTCAATCAGATGTTCACAACTGAAACTTAAAGATGTTAGAAAATAGTTCTTGGGTTATTATGGCAAAGTAGGGTTTAGATCTGGAGAGGAAGGGGGTCAGAGGCAATGGGCGTGAGCACTGTCATGTGGGACTGCCCCCCCACCCCCTTTAAAGGACTCTCTTTAGACACCTCTGGAAGAGGATGTTTCATTAACACTCATTTGACCTTGAAACTTGAAGTACTATAACCCGCTGTGGCTGGCTGATCTTGGTGGGGGAGGACACAAGGAAAGGCCTGGGCAGAGCTGCACCAACACTGATTTCTGGGGAAGGTGGTTTTGTTTGTTTGTTTTTAATAGCTAATGTTTATTAAGCTTTATTAAATACTTTGAAATATTGTAGAGTGTAATGTTGTATCTTAAAATCTTCTCAGTTGTGATTATATGTATGAATATAATAAATATATAAATATATATATTGCACAAACGTCATCATTTTGACCATTTTTAAGTGTACAATTCAGTGTGTTAATTGCATTCCCCATGCTCTACAACCATCACCGTATCTATCCTTAAAACTTAAATATTACCCCAGATTGAAACTCTGGTGAAGCATTAACTCTCTGGGAGTACTTCTCATTCAAGCTGAATGTGCCTTTGGGAGAAATAGCTATTTATGCATTTCACCTTCCATCTGAGGTTTTTAAGAGATCTTCTGTCTTCCTTTTTAAATTTTAACTTACCCTAAAAGCTTATGACTTGTCCCAACCTAGGTGAGTCCCTTAGTGGGGGTGAGGGGTGTAGGGAAATCTTCCCCCCAAACTGTGTGTCCCTGGGGATCACCTCTGGGGAAGGAGGTGCCCATTGGTGACAGAGGCCCTATCATGCCAATCCTTTTCCTGCCAGCTCCAACACTACCCATTAGGTGATGGCCTGGCCACATCCTAGTGACAGATGAGACTCAGTCAGTCCTTGTGCATGACCAGCTTGGGGGCTGAGATAATCGAGGTGGGGAGGCTAGTCTCCTTCTCTGACTGGACTTGAGTGCCTCAGGGTCAGAGCCCTTGTGTAGTTCATCTTTTTCTTCCCGGGGTCAAGCACTGAGCTGCCTGACAATGAGGACAATGAGCCGTTCAATCATCATTAGCTATTGAATGGAATCAGTCTCTCCTGATAGCGCCTAAACACTCTAGCAAAGAAAACATGAAGTGGCCTCTGAAAACCATGCTACTCCTTGTAGATAAGCCCCATAGCAGTCTGACCTAGGCCAGAGGACAGAGATTTGAGAATCGAGCACTCACATGGTTTCACACTTGGTGTTGCTCATGAAATATTTAGGCTTATACTTGCTGAGTATCTGCTTTGGGCCATAACTTAAGCCATAGTTCCAGTTTGGAGAGGGTCCAAGATGAGGTCAGTAGGTAGGACTTCTGTGCAGGACATTCTTTCTGCTCTGATATCACCATTCTATTATAGAGCACCTCACTGGCTAGTTTTGTCCCTGTGGCTTTCACTGTAAGAAAATGATATGAGTTCTTCTTGACTGTCACTTCATGCTGCCAAAGGTTGACTAACGGATCCTGCTCTCTTCCTTTTCCCATCTCTCTCCTCTCAAACCATTTAGGAACATTTGCCCTAAACATTATAAGGCATTCAAATCAGGAGGAATGTGGGATGAAGCCTTCAGGACAACTAATTATCTTTATTTTGCTTAATTCCATTTAAGCCTACAAACTAACATAACAGACACAACTCCTGAGGTTGTATCTCTGTATCTCTGCTAGAATTTAATCACTTTACCCTACTGTGCTCTTGAAATGCAGGAGGTGGGCACTAAGTTGTAAGTCAGTGATCTTTCTCTTGGGGGTCTGAGATGATGTGGTGGGTGAATAAGAGTGTGGGAATACAGGAATGACTTGGGAGACAGAGTGGGAAATGCGGCTGAGTTCTGCTCCTGGATTACCTGTGGGTTATTACCTCCAGACGGTTGAAGAAGAAGCTTTAATAAAGAATAACAACACCTGTAAGGACTTCCTCATCGAGGCCATGAAATACCACCTGCTCCCTCTGGATCAGAGGCTTTTGATTAAGAACCCAAGGACCAAGCCCAGGACTCCAGTCAGCCTGCCCAAGGTAAGCCCCAGCCCAGTCGGTGCCAGCAGTCAGGGCTGTGTTCCAGGAAAGTGGCCTTGCATTGCTGGCTCCAAGTCTTTCCTCATTCGTGGCTGCCTTGCTTCTTGGTTGCATTTACCACCTAAGAGATGGAGCCTGCCAGTTCTTTTTGAATCTGCTGGTACCTCTCTCTTCCAGGATCTTCCTGTCCTAAGAATTCAAGGTAACCTCCAGAGTCACCAGGTAGTTTTGAGAATTACTCCTTCGCCTCTCCTCCTTCTTTGGTCTGAATTCTATTTCTTTTGGAAGCAGAGGAACGTCTGTGTGGCTCTTGATTTAGTGATTTCTAGGCCATGATTTGAATCCAAATGGTCCTAGTCTGGTTCTTTTCTCTGACTGCAGAGCCCTATGGAACAGTTAGGGCTTCTAGACGGGTACTGGCTGCTGTAGTTCCTTGCAGGGCCTTCGCTTTCTCTGGTCCTCGGGTCTTTCGTCTGCAGAATGAAAGATCCTGCACTCTCTGGTCTCTAAAGTCCATTCCAGGTTGGCATTCCCATAGGCCATCTAGGAGTCTAAAATGCTGACGTCACAGGAAAGGTCCCAGCCAACCCAGGAGGAAAGGTGAGCAGAGCGAAGTGAGTTATGTTGACTCAGCAACTGCACAACCAGCAGCCCCAGGGCATGTTGTAGGCCTTTGCTTTGTCTTCCTCCTCCTCTTTCTGGCTGGCTGCCCTATTCCTTGTCTGCTGCTTCCAGGAAGGGTTTCAGAGTGCTGGAGAAGCATGTTGTTCAAGACCAGATGTTTGGATTCTCCAGGTCCGTGATTCCTCTCTCCACTCTGTGTTGTGACCCTGGGTGATGGAGAGTTTAGTGGGTACAGTGTGGATGAAGGCTATAAATCTCCCAGATAATAATACAAGCTGCTGGCATTTGTTGAGTGCTGCTTCAGGGCCAAGCAGTAAGCTGAAAGGTATCACAGTAGAGCTTTCTTAATCCCCTCAATAGCCCTGTACGGCAGAGACAGGTATCCTAGCTCAATACAGAGGAAACAGAAGGTCAGAGAGATTAAGTGACTTGCCCAAGGTCAACACAGCTAATGTAGTAGAGCTGGTGTTTGAATGGTGTTTTTCTTACCCTCCAGATCTGTTTTGTGAACCCACACCATCCTGCACCTGGCCTCACCTTTGTAAACCTGAGTGTGTATACCTACCTGTCAGCTCCCCATTGCCCAGCACAGGTTAGAAGGTGTAGGCACCAGGCATGGGCCTTGGTCTGGCTGGCCATTTGCCTTACTTCGTGATGACACTTTGGTTTTACTTTTTTGAAATACTGCACTGAAACGACTTCATATTTTTCACAATGAAAATAATTTTGCTTTCTTCAATTAAAGAAATATATGCTCATTGTGGAGTGTTAAGAGGGTACTACATTTTTGAAATAAAGTAAAAATCACCTGAAATTCCTCCACCCAGGGGCAATCACTGCTGTTACCTTGATGAATTTTCTCCCAGACATATCTCTGTGCACCTATTCACAAATAGATTTAAAAAAAAAAAAAGTACACTTTCAGATAAATGGAATCTTGCTCCACAGATTGAAATCCTTTTTATCTCCTACTCAACAGGTTGCTTTCATCATTATCAGTATAGGTGAAATCAACATTAAATTATAATAGGTACATGGAATTTAATTATATTTATGTACCATTATTTACTTAACTGTCCTCTGTTAATGGACCTTTTTATCATCTCCATTTTTTTATATTACAAACATTTCTATGTCAGTTATCCTTTAAAAGATGACATCTTATTTTAGTTTGCATTTCTTGTAAGTGAGACTAATCTTGGTTTCATATGATTATGGCTTTTGTATTTCTTTTTGGGGGGAATTTTCTGTTTATGTCCTTTGTCCATTTTTCTGTTGAACTGTCTGTTTTTAATTAATGGTGGTTTTTTTAAAAATGTTGATTTATTTTGAGAGAGACAAAAAGAGCACAATGAGCAGGGGAGGGGCAGAGCGAGAGAGAGTCCCAAGCAGGCTCTGTGTTGTCAGCACAGAGCCCAGAGTGGGGCTTGATCCCAGGAACCATGAAATTGTAACCTGAACCAAAACTAACAGTTGGACACTTAATTGACTAAGCTACCCAGGGTCTCCTATTAATGGTTTTTAAGGGCTCTTTTTACTTTAAAGAGGTTAGGCTTTTGTATGTATTTCAAATATTTTTTCTTAGTTTGCCTATAATCTTATTTATAGCATTTTTTTGGATCCCAGAAAATGATTTTGAGTAGTTACATTGATCTGTCTTTTGCTTTATAGCTTAGGTTTTACATCCTGCTTAGAAATGTTTTCTGTACTCTGAGATTAAAAAAAAAAAAAAGACTCCCATGTTTTCTCAAGTACTTTAATGATTTCTGTTTTACATTTGCATCTTTGATGCACTTAGAATTTATTTTAGTGTAAGGAGAGAGGGTAGGGATCCAGATTTATTTCTATTGCAAATGATGAGCCAGTTGCCCCAAAGTTATTTTATTGAAAAATCTCCCTTTCCCCCATCAATCTGAATACCACCATCATTATGATCTAAATTTACATAAGCTTGTATATTGAGGTCTTGAGATTATTGATTCTAAGGTGCACTGTTGTTTTACATGGAGGATGCTTTTTGTATCCTGGGTTCTCAGCTGGCATTGTTGTATGTCTTTGTGACTTTTCTCTTTGGAAAAGAAGGTTCTTATCCTATATGTTAACAAGTTACCAACATCTTTTGCTGGGGAGTGTGTTCTGGAGCTAAGGAAATGGTGCAGAGGGAATGGGCCCTCCCCTTTGAGATAACGAATCTGTAGTTGATAACAGTTTAATCCACTTCGATGAGACCATGGTTGTCCTACTGTCCCCTCTACTCCTTGAGAAACACTAATTTCAGAATGAAAATGTTTAGATCCTTGAGCATGTAGACTTCTGCAGGTAACTGGAATCAAGACTTCTTATGAATCTGCTGAAGGAATTTTAAAAAATACATTGCTGCTCTTTGCTTCATTGTTCCCCTTACTTTAATTTAATCACTGAATGATTTAGAGTTATATTGTCCAACCTGCTTCTCAAACTCTCCTCTATCACTACTGTTTGGGCACTTAAATTAGTGAGGGAATCCCCACTGTGGGTTTGAAGAGTGGGGTATGCTGAGGGAAACGATCACTTTGAGGATTATCACACGTACATTTGATCTCATTAAATCATGACAATATTTGGGCTGCACTATTCATATCCCTCCTTTACTGAGTTTACTCAGAGAAGTTAAGTAACTTGCCCAGTTACACAGCTAGTAATGCAGAGCTGAGGTTTGAACCAAGGTCTGTTCCACTCCAAAGTCTGTGCTTGTTCTTTTATACCAGATTGCCTCCCAGGGACAGGTTTTCGGGTTTGGGTGACAGACGAAAAAGATTCTTTTTTTTTTTATTATTTTTTAAAATATCAAGATCTCCTTTAATTAAAGCCCTATACCATCCCACTCATCTCATTAAGAGATGCATTTCCAATACATTTACTACTTTTTATTTTCAAATTAAGACTTTATAGTTTTAGAGCTATCTTAGGTTGACAACAAGATTGAGGGTAAGTTACAGCGATTTCCATATACCTTCTGCCCCCACGCATGCATCATTTGCCCCATTATCAACATCCCAGATTATTTTCTTTTAAATTTAGTTTTATTGAGGTATTACAATTTATACACAATTACAATTCACTCTTTTCAGGGATATAATTTGATGAATTTCAAGAAATGCGTATAGTCATTCACTAACATGCTAATCAAATATGGAATATTTTATCAATGTATCTGGCTTGAAGAATTAAAATCACATATGTTATACAATTATATATTATACATATATAATATTTTAAGTTCTCCAAAAAGTTCCTTTGTGCCACTCTATAGTCAAGCCCCTTTTTATACCCACCTCCCCCATGCCTTGGCAGCTAATGATCTGATTTCTGTCCCTCTAGCTTTGTCTTCTCTAGGATGTTATATAAATGACATCATGCCATATGAAGTCTTTTGAGCTTTCCTTCTTTCTCTTAGCATAGTGCTTTTGAGATTTATCCATGTTGTCGCATGTATATAGAGTTTGTTCTTTTTACTGCTGAGTAATGTTCTATCACATGGATGTCCTGTAATTTGTTTATCCATTTACCGGTTGATGGATATATGGATGTCCACTTTTGGCTTTTACAAATAAAGCTGTTTGAACATTCACTTACAGATCCTTGTTTGGATTTAGATTTTAATTTCTCTTGGGTAAATACCTAGGAATAGGATTGCTGGTAAGTATATGTTTAAATATATAAGATACTGCTAAACTGTTTCTCAAGACATTCAAGACAACTATTTTTCAAGCTGTACCATTATGCATTCCCATCTGCAAGGTATGAGAATTCCAGTTACTGCACAGTCTTACCACTGCTTGTATTATCTGTTTTAAAATATTTTAGCTACTGTAGTAGGTATGTGTGGCTTTAATTTTAATTTCTCTAAGGACTACTGATGTTGAGCATCTTTTCATGTGCTTATTTGCCATCTATATATCTTCACTGGTGAAGTGTGTTCAGATTTTTTCCCCTTTAAAAAAGTGAGTTATTTTATTCTTATTGAGTTGTAAGAATCCTGTATATATTGTGGATATAAGTCTTTTATTAAATCTATATTTTGCAAATATTTTCTCCGAAACCGTGCCTTATCTTTTTATTTTCTTAGCAGTGTCTTTGGGAGAGCAGAAGTTTTAAATTATGTCAAAAAATTTTCTGTTAAAATTTATGTATTTTGTCTTTTATCTAAAAATTTGCATAATCTAAGATCACAAAGATTTTCTCCTATGCTCTTTTTTCCAGAAATTTTAATGTTTTAGGTTCTATATTTGGGTCTTTGATCCATTTCAAGATTGCTTTTTAGTATGGCATGTGAAATAAGGGTCAAGGTTCTTTTTTTTTTTTTTAATTTTTTTTTAATGTTTTATATATTTCTA